GAGGTATTGGGGGGCATTTCTTAAACAGCCACCTTTGTATTTTCCAAGTAAAATGCCTCTTAGTTTAATTATGCTTCCAAATAGCACTGAGATACGTCCCTAGAGACAGCATGGATATAGTATGGATAGACTAGCCTCAGGCATTGAACAGATGGACAACTGTTTTCAGGTTGCAGTTTGTTTTTTTTCTAATTATTCTAAATATTCATACCAAACTCAAATGTAATTCTGAAAAACAAGGGTACATTTAAAAAGGACATAATTATGCACTTACATGGCAATGGCCCTTGGCTTAGAGGACCACTATCGGCACCCAGACCCCTTCAGCTCAATGAAGTGGTCTGGGTGCCAGGTCCCCCTAATTTTTACCCTGCAGCTGAAAACATAGCCGTTTCAGAGAAACGGCTATGTTTACACTGCAGGGTTAATCCAGCCTCTAGTGGCCGTCTCTCTGACAGCCACTAGAGGCTGCTACCGCAATTTACACAGAGTAAATTGCACTTATTTGACGCTGGACGTCCTCACAGAGTACACCGTCAAATAAGATCCCCGTAGGAAAGCATTGACTAATGCTTTCCTATGGGTGGGTTTGAATGTGCACACGCCTCTGGCCGTGCATGCGCATTCGGCTCCACTCGGGAGCTGACATTGATGGAGTAGTAAAGGTCACCAGTGCTAAAAGGAGCCCGGCGCTGGTTTAAGGTGAGCAAATAAATGGTTAACCATTTATTCATCGCGGAACGGGGCCCTAGTCAACTAAACAGTGACTAGGGCTCTATAGCGTTAGGAATACATTTTTGTATTCCTAATTCTATAGTGTTCATTTAATTCAGATTCTATTTTTTCTAACCTCTTGGTATAGGGCCTTTAGGGACAAATTGTGATTGGGATATTAAATATCATTGATCACCAAGGTGTTAAAACATTTTTCTACTCTATACAAGTGAAATGTAGGAGGAACACATTTTAATAAAAAAACATATCACTTTTAATCTTTGAGATTGAAAGTCTGTGGACTATGTAACTTCAGTAAAAATATTCCTCTCACTATGCGACTGTTAACAGAATGAAAAGGGTCTGTGCTGATGCAAGGGAATCAGAATGGAATTTGGAAGCCAACAACCTGTATTCGGTCCCATATCAGGAAAGCAACACTGACAGGTGAATTGTTATGCTCAGCAAGATATCTTTGCACTTTATCTTTAAATACACCAGGGCATATCTACAAAAATTATTTGTGTGATGAAATACTATTGAAAACGTGTGCGAACATTCTATTGCATTCCATGAAGATGCATCACGTTTTGAACTTTGGGGCAAAGTTATAAGCATGCAGCAATCTCTATGGAAACAAATGCAATTCTCTTTCTGATTACAGATGATGGCACATTGCCAAACAGGCATTATAATAATCCCCAGTAGAGGTCATTCAATGGCCACCAGTAGTATAAGCATATCTATTTCATTGAGTGTTGCTTGATCCACATATCGAAGTATGTTGAGTTTTTGCATTTCGCTGGAGTTCTGCTCGTTTCTGGTAATCTGTTTTCTCTCCGTCTGAAAAATAAGCAAGTCATATTCTGATTAGTATAAAAAATTTAAAAAAAAAAAAAATTAAAAAAGAAAATCACTGAAAAAAAAAACCATAATGCCTAATAATTACAAGAATCTACCTTACCAAAAGAAAAATAAATATGGCTATTAACATCTAGAATCGGACATTATCAGGCCATGCTATGATCCATAAAAAATCTGCATGTGCCTAAAAATGCAGAAATATATTTTATGCTAAAGGACTGGAACAAGATGGAACAACCAAACTCTAAACACATTAAACATAATGGCATACACTGATACAATATGCAGTCTGATAGATTTCACAGTGGAAATGTTCCAGTGTGATGAAGGCTCCATGAAGAATCTTGTTTTGATACAGTCGAGAGGAAAGCAAGTCATCTTTTCTTTACAGGAATAATCTGTTTTGTACTGAGTTACAGACCCCAAAGAGTTAAAGGGACACTATAGTCACCTGAACAACTTCAGCTTAATGAGGTTGTTCAGGTGAGAACTATAGCTCCCTGCAGCCTCTCATGTAAACACTGTATTTTCTGAGAAAATACAGTGTTTACATTGAAAGCTAGGAACACCTCCAGTTTCAGTCACTCAGATTGAACCAGAGGGACTTCTGAGTTAATGGAGGCATAATATGCCTCCATCCACTCAGATCTGCTGTGCATGAGCATCCTGTGATTCAGTATCTCCTCCCACTGCATGCAGACACTGAACTTTCCTCATAGAGATGCATTGATTCAATTCATCTCTATGAGGAGATGCTGATTGGCCAGGGCTGTGTTTGAATCATGCTGGCTCTGCCCCTGATCTGCCTCCTTGTCAGTCTCAGCCAATCCTATGGGGAGGCACTGTGATTGGATCAGGTTATCACATGTCAGCTTGTTTTTCCTGAGTCTAACAGCATGCAGATTTACAGCTTCTGGCTTGAATACAGTAAGATTTTTACTATATTTATGGAGGCATGAGGGGCCAAGGGGGGCTAGATGGTCGTGTTAACACTATAGGGTCAGGAATACATGTAGTTGCACTGGTGACTATAGTGTCCCTTTAATGACCCCCAGCAGTGCTCAATGTGGCAAACTTATTTAAAGGCCAACTGTCACCAAATGTTTTAATTATAAGAATCCTTGCACAATGTAATGAAAATATTTTTTTTTGTGTGAAGTGTATGTAAAAATACCTAAAGATTCCTAGATTTTACTATTAACATGACGTAAAGTCATGATTTTATTAAAGACACGGAGGCAAGTATTATTCTTCTCTTTCTTTAATTCTCCCTCAGCAGCGAAGAGAGATATATGCAAAAGAGAGAAAAAATAACAATAACATTAGCATATGGAACAGTGCTCATAGGTATCCACCCCCTTAGTATATAAGGTGTAGCACTCCATGCTTCTTCCTCTTTCTTCCGTGATCCGAAGACCAGATCCATAACCGAACTGTAACTTGGCCCAAACAGGAACAGTGGGCGATAGGTAATGTCCAATCCTTGAGGTTAGACTGTAACGCTTTGTAACGGAAATTCACCCCTTTGACCGTATGATTCAGGCTAAAAGAGAGGAAAAAATATGGTAATATATGGTCGGCAACTGGTTGCATTATGTATCCTCATGTAGGTAAAAAACTAAGTCGTACAAAGTAGTAGTCATGTCGGCATAAGAGCAAGTAAGATATGATTAAGTCTACTATATCACAAAATCACCTACCTGAGAGACGTATGAGCGCACCTTCAGGTATCTATATTGTAGGAGTCCACCTGATCTGTGGTTGGTATCCGTTGAGAAAAAACCAATCCCTCCACCCAGGGAGGGTGGGAGGGAATAATACTTGCCTCCGTGTCTTTAATAAAATCATGACTTTACGTCATGTTAATAGTAAAATCTAGGAATTTTATTAAAGACACGGAGGCTCCTATTATGCTCTTTCAAAGCTGAGCAATGACTCTTTCCGAGAAATGTTGGATTGGTTTAAAATAGAAATTCCGGAATGTGGATTCCGTAGACCAGTCTGCGGCCTTCAGGATGTCTTCTAACCGGCACCCTACTGTCGATGCTTTAGAAGCCATAGCGCCTCTGACCGAATGGGCCGAAAAAATTGTAACGTCTATCCCGGCCGAGGCCAATAACCATTTGGCCCAACGGGCGAGAGTAGGTGTGGATACTGGTAGGTGCGGTTTCTTTAGTGAAATGAACAAAGGGCCGTAGTTTGATGGTCTTAGGGAAGAAGTACGGGTTTCGTATTCTTTTAAGCATAGAATTGGGCACAGCTTCGGTTGGTGCGGGAGGTGTGGATAGAAAACTTGTTTAGTCGCTGATTTAGTTCTTCTTGAAATATCGAAAGACACCCCTTCTGGAGTGAATGAGCGGGCTAGCCAGTCCAAAGCCCTTACATCTGACACGCGTTTACAGGATAATAAACATAAAATCATGAGTAGTTTAGCGGACAGCTGTTTGATTGACAGTGCCGCGTTGTCGGGCCATTCCTCCAGGAATTTGAACACTATGTTGACATCCCAAAAGGATCCGTACCTGGGTTTTGGTGGCCGTGAAAAACGTATACCTTTGAGTAAGCGACATATCAGGGGGTTCTGCCCGAGGGGAGTCCCGTCCACAGTATCATGACCTGCTGAGATAGCAGACCTGTAGATGTTGACTGTACGGAATGCCTTGCCCGATTCGAACAATTGAGTGAGGAAGTCCAGTACCGTCTTTACAGAAGCTGATATGGGATCCACTGATCTTTCCAGGCACCAATCGGACCAAGTTCTCCATGCCGTAGCATATGCGCGCCTTGTTCCCGGTGCCCAGGCGTTCGCCAAGAGTTGGGTAGTTGTTCCCGAAACTTCCGTGATTTCCCAGGGTCCCCGGAAAGGAGCCATGCCATGAGTCGGAGGATTCCCCGTTCTATCAAGTCGTGATTCTCCCCATCTGGGTTGGTTAACAGGGACGTTTGATCCGGTAGTAACCGTGGGAAGTCGATCGCCATTTCTAGAAGGTGAGGGAACCAGGGTTGGGATCTCCAGCACGGTGTTATCAAGACCAACGAGGTTCTGTAGCGTCGAATGTATGTTAGAGTCCGAGCAATCAGGTTGAACGGGGGAAAGGCGTATGCTCGTCCCCCGGTCCAGTCCTGAAGGAAAGCGTCTGTCGCCAAGGCTTCCGGGTCCGGTCGCCAGCTGAAGAATTGAGGAAGTTGAGTGTTCAGTCTGGACGCAAAGAGGTCCACACTCAAGGGCCCCCATAGTCGAGCTATCCTGGCGAAGACTTTTGGTAGAAGCTTCCAGTCCCCCAAATCCCTCAGATATCGGGAGTTCCAGTCCGCGGTGTAATTGTCCAGGCCCGGTATGTGTTCCGCGGTCACCGACACATTGTTTTGTAAACAGTAATGCCAGAAGTCTCGAGCTAAAACCGCTAGGATGCGTGACTTGGTACCTCCGAGATGGTTTATGTACCTGACTGCCGAGACGTTGTCTAACTTGAGGAGGATCGAGCATGAGGCGCCCTTGGGTGTGAGGCTGCAAATGGCAAATGAGGCCGCCAGTAGTTCCAGTGAGTTTATGTGTAGGAATGACTCGTCTACTGACCATCTGCCTCCTGTGGATATGGAGCCGCAGCGCGCGCCCCAGCCATGTAAGCTTGCATCCGACTCGATTATCATATCTGGAGTGGAACCGAAGATTGCCCGTCCATTCCATGCTTCCATGTGGGTCAGCCACCAGTCCAGTTCCTCCCTGGATTCTTCGTCCAGCGTGATGTTGGATTCGTACGACTGACCCCTCCTTAGGCAGGAAGCCTTTAGGCGTTGTAGCGCCCGATAGTGGAGCGGTCCCGGGAAGATCGCCTGTATAGAGGATGCTAGTAAGCCGATTACCCGGGCCAGTTGTCTTAGAGAAATGTCCGAACGGTTCATTATCCTCCTGATCTCCTTCTTGATGTTTGACATCTTGTCTGAAGGGAGGCACAGGATTTGTTGTACCGAATCGACTCGGAATCCTAGGAATTCCATCTGTTGAGAGGGTTGTAGCACCGATTTCTCCCAATTCACTAGAAAACCGAGGTTCTGCAGGAGGTGAAGGGTCCACGACAGGTGTGACAGCAGAAGGGATCGTGTCCCAGACAGTATGAGGATATCGTCCAGATAGATAATGAGGCGAATCCCGTGTAATCTGAGAAATGCTACCACTGGTTTCAGCACTTTCGTAAAGCACCAGGGAGCGGAGGAGAGCCCGAAAGGGAGGCAACAGAAGCGCCATTTCTTTGTGCCCCACCGGAACTGTAGGAGATTCCTGTGTTTTGGTGCTATCGGGATCGTGAGATATGCATCTTGCAGATCGAGTTTCACCATCCAGTCTCCTGGGAGAAGGAGGTCTCGGAGGCAGTGTATGCCCTCCATTTTGAAATGCCGATATTGTATGAAGGCATTGAGGGGCCTCAGGTTGATAACTGGGCGGACACCCCCGCCTTTCTTCGGCACCAAGAACAGGTTGCTTATAAAACCTGGGGTATCTAGAGGGATTTCCTCTATGGCATTTTTGTTGTACAAGGTTTCTATCTCCGTGGAGATGAGGTCGTAGTGAGACTGTGGCATGTGTGGCACACGCGGGAGGGAAACCTGAAAGGGAAGACCCGTCAATTCTAGTTGGTAACCCTCTACAGTCTGCAGTACCCAACTGTCGGACGTGATAGTGGCCCACGTTTGAGAAAACAAAGCCAGTCTGCCCCCCACATTTATATGGGAAAAATGGGGAAAAATCGTACTCACCATAAGGGCGTTTTCCTGGGGTTGTTCCTCTGCCGCCACGGGCATTCCAAGATCTTCCTCGAGAAGGGAAGAACGGGGTGTAGGAACGTTCCTGGGTCTGTCTCTGTGTGTTGGAGGAGCCTCTGCCCGGTCTGGAGAAACCCCGGGGGTTGCGGCCGGATAGACGGCTCCTACCTCTACCGGCCCCACCGAAAACCTTTTGGTGGAATACCCTCTTCATGGATGATTGGGCTTTATCCAGCGCCGTGAATGTTTTGACATAGGAGCCCAGGTCTTTGACGAAGGATTCGCCAAACAAGAGACCCTTAGCCGCGGCCCCTGGTTCAGAGGAGGCCATACTAGCCAGCTTGGGTTCGATTTTCAGCAGGATGGCCTTCCTGCGTTCTGTTGACATAGCAGTATTGGCATTGCCGATCATGCAGACCAAGCGTTGGAGCCATCCAAACGCTACTTCAAAGTCTACTGGAGCCTCACCCGACTGAGCTGCTTCCAGCAGTTCGTATAATTTAGTGACAGGACCCAGAGTGTCTAGGAACTTGTCCTGACAATTACGGAGGGAGTAGTCCAGTCCCCTCTTGGCCTTCCAGCCTGTTTTGGCTAGAAACTGGGCTATCTGAGGGTCCACTTCTGGGGTTTTTGCCACAGCATCAGGGATTATGGGTCGGGGGCACTCCGCTCTCAATTTATTACGGCTCTCTTGAGAAAGGGACTTACGTACCCTGAGGGCTAGGTATCGGGCGATGTGTTCAGATGGTTCCCACTCAGCAGAGCGTGGGTGTCTTAGGTTGTCAGGGTCGAATAGCGTGACCTCTTTAGGGTCACGGGCTGCTTCTGTCTCGGGCGTCCCTGCATGAGCAGTGGTACGCTTTGCCGTCAAGGGGAACTGCTTTCCCTGGAGGCTTTCACCCTCTGAGAGCTCGTCCTCGTACGGGTCAGAGTACGGGGCGTCAGACCCCTCATCCCCCTCCTCGTCTGAGTCAGACAGTATATCATGGGCTCTAGCCCTTTTCCAGTCTCTGGTAGCCGTAGCTCGCCCAGAAGCTCTATTGCGCGGTTGTTGCGCGCCATCATGGACAGCCTGAGGCATGTCAGTCAGAGCAGGGTCAACCTGCATGGGGGGGGGGTCTTGTGAATGTCTGCGTTTGGTTAACGCTTTGTGGCCTGGCAGCCTCCCTTCAGGAGGGGTATGGGTCAAGGCAGGGGTAGAGTGAGGTTGTACCTGTTTAAGCGCTTGCGTGATGGAGTCCGAGATGGTAGAGGACATCGCGCCCATGGCTGAAGATATGGCCTTGGAAATAGATTTGGACATGGTGGTGTCCAGAAGGGATTGGAATTCCTCAGAGCCCATGAGCCCAGGGTCGAGCTGAGGATCAGGATCAGTAGTGGCCATAGAGGGGCTATGTTTGCCAGGGCATTTGTCACCAGATTGCATGGTAAGTAAATAGAGTGCAAGTGAGAAAATAACAAATAGAAAATAGAGTGAAAATGCAGAGTACTAGGATTGATTAACCCAGGTATAGGATGGAAAAGTACAGGGAGATGGAAGGTTAATACCAGGAATATATATGCAGAGAAAAATCAAACTGTACTAGTATGAGGGGTTGCCGGAACGAAATCCGGTGAGGGAGGGGTCAAACGGCACTAAAAACGAGTAGAGAATATGGCCGCCGCCTAAACCGGCGACCAGAAACCAAGAAAATGGCCGCCGCGAGCTACCGCGCATGCGCGGAGCCCGCGAGCGGCGGGAAACTAAGGGAAAGTGAATCGCCGCGCGGACGAAAGTAGGTCCGGCCGGCGGTGTTGCAAATAGTGCCGGGAAATGCCGCGGGTTTCCCGATGGGTCCCCCTGGCGAAATAACCGGCAGATTGTGACCGGGGAGGGAGCCCCAACCGGAGGGAGGGGGCTGGACGAGGGAAATTGTATGAATACTTAGTTAACAGGGAGGGACCGGCCACAGCAGAATAAACACAGTAGAATAAACACAGGCAGTGTAAGAAAAATAAGTGGGAAAAACAGAGAAAAGGAGGGATAAACTGTCTAAGGAGTATCCCCACAGTAATACCACAAAGATATAAATCTAATAGCTATAAATCTCTGAAACATCCCACAGTGTACACATACAAATGAAATTATGAGAGTGTACTTATCTTCTGAGGGAGCAGCGAAGAAAGAGGAAGAAGCATGGAGTGCTACACCTTATATACTAAGGGGGTGGATACCTATGAGCACTGTTCCATATGCTAATGTTATTGTTATTTTTTCTCTCTTTTGCATATATCTCTCTTCGCTGCTGAGGGAGAATTAAAGAAAGAGAAGAATAATACTTGCCTCCGTGTCTTTAATAAAATCTGGCCCCTACTTCCACAAAACACTAGATCCCTCTGCCATATTCATACACTTTGGGTCAGGCTGAGATAGAATACTACTGGATGAGTTTCGGACCATCATAGATTTACGCATCTGAACCAAAGTTACAGAATCGGTCAGACTGACTGAATTCTGACCGACGTTGGCTTTAGTAAATATGAGAATTGCCAAAGTGGCCAGATTTCGACCACACAGAGCGATGCCTGATGATATCACCACACTGTGCAGGGAGTGAAGCAGGAGCTTAACGGTCGGATTCTACCTCAATCTGACTGAAGGTGTATGAATATGGCAGAGGGTTTTAGTGTTCAGTGAAAGTAGTGCCAAGATTTTAGCTATTTTTACATATACTTACAGTAATTATAAAGAAAATGCTAAATCCTTTCATTACATGTTGCAAGGATTCTTATAATAAAAAATGTAAAAAAAAATTCAGGTGCCAGTTGTCCTTTAAGGGGCACAATCGTCAGAATCGCTGATGGAATGTCTCAAAAAAATACTCTACCCCAACTTGACACCTATAAACCACCTCTTCCTCAGCCATTTTGATAATTTAAAATATAAGTTTCTGTGTTATCAGTATCAATTGTGTCCAACTTGTATTTAAGAACATTGGGCTACCTATCCCCTGGTAGCATACATCATGCATTATCACAGTGGTTGAATAGAGGGCAGTATATGGGTTCTGGGAGAACCCAGATTTTGTCAAACTATTACTAAATAGTTTGACCATAAAATAAAACAAACAGGAGATGGTGTCCAAAGACTTAAAGCACTATAACTACTAAATGAGATGTGCAGTTATGGTGCTTATAGTATTCCCTGAAGCAGCAATAAACCTACAACCTGTTTTAATCATTTCATATATTGTCTATATGTAGGCTCATTGCATAATAAAAAAATTCTTCATTTAAATAATTGTGGCAAAGGTAACCTCGCCACTTGTACTTGGAGAGGCCTGATTGCCAGCCTCTTGCCCCTCGACTATGGCCCCTGGGATGTATTGCCCTTTAACAGCTCTATTTGGGCTTATTGGATTGTAAAATACTCTTTCGACACTTTTAATTATATTGGAGCAGTTCTACAATTTGAAGTGGCACTTCGGATTCAGCCGAAGTAGTCGAAATGGCTGCCATTCGACAAATGAACATGTGACGGCGGCCATTTTAATTCAGTTCACTGTGTTCAGTGGTGTTTCGTCATCAAGTTCACAGAACTCAAATCGGACATGCAACGGCACGAACACCCCTTAACTTTACCTTCTCCAGACTTCAACTCATTTGACTGGAGTCGAACACCGTTCGACAAATTGAACAGTCGGTTAACATTGACTGTTTGCACGAACGGTTGCTGTTCGTCTATTTGAACTGAACTTAACATGAGAAATAGACTGGCCGCACAGCCAAATTCTCTGGAACTGTTTTGGGCATGACATCATGCGTGCGGTCAGTCAAAAAGACTTCCATGGAACTTTTGAACCCCTCCTTTGATCTGGGTGATTTTTGGATATGTTGCTCACCCAGATCAGAGCTATCCAGCGATATAATATTTATGGGGGTATCTTCTGTTTTGGGGTGTTTTCTGGACTTTGGGGAAAATGTGTGTTTTTCAACCTCTGGATAATTAGGTTAGTGTGTTAGCTGTTTTAATTATATCAAGGGCAGAGGGGAGGGCTTGTTTCTGTATGTGGGAGTGTCGGTCGTTACTACAGTGTTCTTATTGGTTTGTATTGTGTGCCTGTGTACCATTGGTCCAGGGGGTGTGCCTCTGGCCTGAAAAACTGTTTAAATTGTGAGTGCTTGCTGCCACTAAACAGACCTGCTTTAGCCCTTAATGAAGTCTTGGCTCATGTTTGGAGGATTGGAGAACTACCCTCTTGGGGATTGCTATAATCACACTATACTCCCCATAGTAAGCTCTTGTAAGAGCTTGTTCCTGCTGCGTTCTCTGGAGAAAGATAGGTCTGCCCACTGGAAGCTGGATCCTGGCCTTGGGTCCAGGGTGGGTGGAGGACGGCGAGACCCCGGCACAGCTGCATCGCTGGAAGTGGGGTCTGCAGTGCTGATGGTGTCGGTTGGAGTGCTTGGAGTCCTTGGAAAGCACTAGGAGCATCGATTGACGGAGGTACTCGGTCGGAGTGCCAGGCGGTCCGTCACAATAATTAATAGTGCAGAGTTCAATTGCCATTCGCAAATTAGAAATTACAAAGAATGTCTGAGAATCATAGAAGCTGAGCACAGCAGATGGAGCAGAAAAGGTTATGCATTACAGAGGAAGAGAAAGAAGTAAAATGTTTCTAAGTCAAATCATGCATTCTAAGTGACCGGTGAGTTCCACTGCATAATAAGTGTTACATCTCTATAATTTTTGTACAAACTGAAATTTTTACATTGTAAGGTAAATACAGATCTAGTTGCCGTCTTCCTGACAGCCACTAGAGGCGCTTTTGCTGCACTAACAGAAGCTCCTAGGAAAGCATTGCATTTTAAGCTTCACTCTGTGAAGCGTTTGGATGCTTGCGTGACACAAATCAGTTTCCAATGCTCCTCTACAAGGCATACCACCAGTGCAGTGGTAAAGGCAAGGAAATTTTTTTGTGTGTGTTTTTACTGGAAACAGGAGACAAATAATGCACTATGACTATAGTATTAGGAATACAGGTTTGTATTCCTAACACTAAAGTGTTCCTTTAATCAACTTTTACCAAATTCATATCAATAGCAAAACTATCATCACCATGAAATAGAGAATTCGGTTACTATTGATTACTATTGACACTTTTTGTGATCGAAAATAAAGTTAAGGCTAACCAAGAAAAGCCAGATAATTTCTAATGGACACTGAGCAGATGAGTAATCTGTTAAATAGTAACTGATGCATTAGCAGCATCCATGGACATATGGTTTCATGGAAATGAGAGCGTTCGTTACAGAACCGAGATGGCTAGCATTGAAAATGCAGATGTTTGTGATGCAAATGTCACATGATGCTCAGTGAGCTTCATGGTAAATGTATCTCAAACATCAGCAGTGCCACGATTAACCATCAATGTTCTATAACTGGAACATGTTGCCATTGTGGAATTTTTCTAATCTCTAATTTATTGATTAAACAGCAAAAGACAGTAAATAGAAAATTCCATTGCAAAAAAACTATGCAGTTACATCAAGCATTTTTTTTTTTAACTTTGAATTGCAGGCTGCTACCGATGCCTGCTAAGAATCCCTGTAGTGTACTCCATACTCTTGACCATCAATGGCTGGAAGAATGGGGAAATGAAGTTTAACCTACAAAGGTTCCTGTTGAGAGTGGGAGACATGAATTGCAAATCAAAGAAATAGAACACCTTACGATTCTTGAAGCTAAAAGACTCCCCACTGTATTCCATGCTTGGTGATGACAAGTGAGGTCAGCCAGGTCAGTGAGAGTGAGCTTGGGTTAGGTAATGGATGAAAATATCTACATATTTATTTACTGGCTTATTCACCAAACTTTTAGTGAATTAAATCAGCATAGTAAAAATGTAGTAAAATAATTGCGGTTTTGAAGAAATTCTACACTATAGTCACGGCTTGGCTATATTTGTCTATATTTTGACATTCAGATTTAATTTGCTACAATTCTTAGTTTTACAATGTATAAAAACCTCCCAACTAACAACAACATACTCCTGAACGGCAAGTACTTGCCAAAGACAAATGGTGTCAATTTCCTATACAAACTGTTTGCTTTTAAAGAAATGTTAATTATTTTCATATATTTTTTAAAATAAATAAACATCTCAAAGTATGGCATCTAAAAACAAATATCAAAGAAATCACTAAAGCAAATTTTAAACCAAATTCAGTTTTTTGCTAGCGAATTAAATTCTGACATATCAATGAATCACTGATTATAGTTTTGAAAAGCAAATAATTGTATTGGTTTTGAAGGGGGTTGTACACTGAGCAGATGGAAGTCTATTCAATTAAGAAATGTATAATTACTCTACATGTTGGCTGTATTTTGCAGCAACAAATAAA